ATATGGGGTGAACATGGGCCAGATGGGCCCACGTGGGACATGGGCTACAGATGGGCTACCCATATGGGCCCCATATGGGATAAAAATGGGCCAGATGGGCCAAACGCATGCATGGGCTGGAGATGGGCATCCCATGTGGGTCCCATATGGGGTGAACATGGGCCAGATGGGCCCACGTGGGACATGGGCTACAGATGGGCTACCCATATGGGTCCCATGTGGGCGCCGCGTGGGTCCCATATGGGGCCTACGTGGGCTGACCCATATGGGTCCCACGTGTCACCCACTGCCATTCCCATGTGGGACCCATATGGAAGAGGTGGGGGGCCCATGTGGGCCCCATATGGGAACCATGTGGGCATGTTTGCTGGGTTGTTATACATATCGAAAAACCGATAAACTTTTAGGCGAAAAAGGCACTATTCCATGCCCATTTTTGATTTGTTTGCGATATTAGGTAAAAACAGAAGCTTCTTATCCTAGGAAAAATAAAATGGGAAATCATTGGAAGGTGGCACACTACCTTTAAACAAGAAAATGAAGCGTACAAAAAGTTTTTGTAGGACTTTTGTTCGATCTGAAAAGGCGGGGCCAAAAGATAGTATGGCCCCACCTTTCAGCACCAAAAACCATGCCGGGGGCCATGGCCCCCGTGCCCCCCCCCCCCCCTGGGACCGCCTATGTGACCACACCCCGTTTTTTACCCACTTGCCACTCATGGTTTTCGCAAATAACTCAAGTGAGTTTCAACAGCAATGCTCAAGACATTTTTCAACAGTGAACCGATTTGAATTTCATATCAACCCTGAAAATTTGGATACCTTAGCCCAAGGTGGCTCATCTATTATTTTCCCAATGTCACTTAGACCGATTTTGCGTTTTGCAGAGCCTGCAAAAGTCAGAGCCAGAGCCAGAGCGAAGGTATGCAAACTCATTGCAAAGATTGGCGTCAATGTCTTTATCCGTTCGGGAGGTATTGCAGAAAAACCGGAGAGAGGGGTTCTGCATAGCCCCCCCCCCCCCGGCAAGTGCGGGTTAATGCTATTATATACCATTCTTACGCCATTTTATGCAATGTTGCTGTCATTCATAGTCATGACCGATGTGTCAACCTATCACGTTACAGTGAATAACAAACATATTTGTTCGCAGATTCGAGCAATCTTCTGGCCCTCAATGAGCCCGGACCTGAACCCTATTGAGAACGTTTGGTCTCTGACTTTGCTGGCTATTTCGGAGCATGAGTGACCTTATCAAGTTAAAAGGAAGTCAGGGGAAGGTCATTGGCCCTTTTTTGACCCTGGTGACCGTTCTTGACTTCAACTATAATGGGGTACATAGGTGTCCTACTCCTAACTTCAACTTTTTATTTTATTCAGGACGTCTAAGAGAGTATATGAAGCATTGTGATGCAAAGCATGAAATGGATTGATTACATCAGCTTCAGACAGGTATCATATTACAGGTACATATTAGGTCGTGTAACAGTCAATGGTTATATTATGCTGCGTACCCATATATGGAAAATCCTTCCAAAAATGGAAGGTTTCCAAAAATGTAAGATTTGACCACAGTCTCCCCGACTGATCTGACCTTTGAGTGGTATTAATCGATCAACAATTGCATGATGCATACGTTGAAGGGGTAATGAGTTCATATTGATGTGTTTACATTTCTTTCTCTGAAAAACACGTAATAATAGGGGACTTTTGACGATTTTTTGCCATTTGACTTTTATCTCTTTGGCTTTTTGTCGATTTGACTTTTTACTTTTGACTGTTTACATTTTCACTTTTATTCATTTTGACTTTTTGTAGTTTAACTTTTATCTGTTTTGACTTTTCCGTATTTGACTTCTTGCTTTTGACTTATATCCGTTTTGACTTTTTCACGTTTGACTTTTCTCCTTTTTGACTTTTTGCCATTTTGACTTTTTGCTCTTTTGACTTTTTAGTTTTGACTTTTTGACGTTTTGACTTTTATACATGTTGACTTTCTTCCATTTGACTTTTATCCGTTTTGACTTTTTGCATTTGACTTTTTGTCTGTTGACTTTTTGTCTTTTGACTTTTTGTCATTTGGCTTTTTGTCCGGTTACCACTAGCGGTTACCCTTGAGACTGAAGTCGTCTCGCTTGAGACTAAAGTCGCCCTACTCAAGCCCAATGACGCCCCTCCAGTGCGTCCGGCGCGCTTCTGAAGATCACAGTTGTCCTTATCCGAGGTCGCTGGCGCCCCTCAAAAGTCATTGGCGCACATCTAAACGGAGATTACAGCTGCCCCATCTTAAGATCGATGGCAACCCTCTGAAACCAATGGCGCCCTGCTAAAGTACCCGGCGTCCCTCTGAAAATCACATTCGCCCCATCCTCCGAGACAACACCCCTTGAGACTACAGTCGCCCCACCCAAGCTCAAGGCGCCCCTCCAGAGCCTCCGGCGCCCTGCTGAAGGCAACAGTGGCCCCATCTATGCCCAATGGCGCCCCTCAACGCCGTTCTAAAGATCACAGTCGCCCCATCATTTCGCGGAGGACGTTTATCTGTAATACCTGTTGGCTCAGACCTGCTCGAGATTAGTTTAACCGGCATCGTGTTCCATTCTTTGAGACAGACGAGTCAAATGAACTAGAATTTGACATTAAAAGGGTATTTGACCTAAGGTGAAGGTCATCTTAGCTGTTTGTTGGTACACCTGTTCATAATCTTTTCTACAATGTGAAAAATTCAGATCAGGGTTGTTCAAATCAGGTCACCAGGGCACGTCAAGTGACCTTACCTAAAAAAAATTGTTAAAGGCTCGCTTTAGCTTTACCGCCTGAACGATCACTTTTGAAACTTTCAGAGATTGATAAGACTAACAATATGCATAAAATGTTTATCTCGGATTTTGATTTCTGTGACCTAAGGTCAGGTCAATTTTGCGACCTCTCCATTTTAAGTCAGTGGAAGAAAAGTGAAATGCGCCTCTTTTGGATGAATGTCGTTCAAAACCCTCTAAAACATCGGTTAATAGGTAAACATAACACACTGAATCGGAAAAATGCACCTGTGACCCTTCTATGTGCCCCTGTGCCCATGAGTTCATCTCAGGTCATGAACGGTCACCAGCAGTTTTTTTTTGCTATAACTTTTGATGAGACGTGCTAAAGTTGTGAAAACACGTCAGATGTGGTCAGCTCGACGTTACAGATCGACTGATATGCAGCATGACCCTTTCCGGTCAGGTCAGGACCTTGACCTGAGGTCAAATTTTCAAAATAATCTTTCAAGGTCAAGGTATAGTTCATTCGACGCGTCTCGACGGGAGGAACACGATACAGGCAAAATAGATATCGTCACTGTCTTGAGCCAAACGTTATTGCAGAAAAATGTTTTTCATAAAATTGCTATTTTTGGAGTTTTTGCCCTCTGGAGGCTAAACCGTTGACCTGAGATTAAATCTGAGAGCAAGACTTAGAAAGGTCTGTAAAAGGGCTATCGAATGCGCTTTTCCGCGGCGCTGTGCTCTATTGGTTCCTGAGTAAGCCATTGGCAGTTTCCAAAATTGTTGAAATGGACTAAATTTGACCTTTGATGACCCCTGGTGACCTGACCATTGACCTGACCTAAAAATTGAACTGAGTCTTTCCGTCATTATTTTTGACGCTCTTTTGATTGTCCCTCACCGCGTGTCACTACGTGGCCCCGGAGCCGAGTTAGAGGGGGACGTGAAAACGCCCCCCCAGCACGGCACGGAAAACACAGGCCACCAGCACGGCGCGGTTTAACTAATAGGTAATGAAGAGGTCGCAAAATTGACCTGCCCCTCAATGTAGATATTTGGCCTGGGGATTACGCAAGGCGAATGTTCGGTGAGATCAGCAAGTTTCTATGGCGTTTATTCAAAGTCGATCATGCACACTCACATCATCAAAAGTCGTCTTCTATGCTACGTCGGCCGAAGACATCATTAACCTTCGTGTCACTATATGGGAGAGTCTCACGCCTCACCCATCTGGCACTCATGCAGTCATGCATGTCCGTCCACCTTCGCGCACTAGACATCAAATTGTAAAGGTGATTTGTGGAGAAAAAATCCAGGACGTATGTAAGCGTTCGGTCGCCTCTGACTGCAGCCGCTGCTGGTTGAGTTGGGATCTCATGGTGGATCTAATGGTCTTAAATGTTCAAGTCTTTCCTTGATCCCAATTTAGGCAATTAGTCGCAGCGTGAATCCTATGTACGTGCGGTCTGAGATTCTAAGCAAGGCCACCCCGGTCGACCACAGGCTGCAGTCCACAGGTCACTTTGGATCAGTGAGTGAACCTATATTTTTTTTTGCAAAGAATACAGATTGTGCCTATCGATCAACGTATATTTACCATTTCGAATTTGCATGGGTGCGTATGTTGAGAATAAAATGTCCGTAGCCTGAGCTCGTTTCCTATATCGTGCTAAATATGCACAAAGATAAAAACACCGGGCTGCAAATTGCATTAATTGGATTTTATGAAAAAACGGCGAAACCTGGTTCTTATACTCGTATTTTGCAACACCTAGTAAATCATGCATAAATTATGTGACGTTACATTTTAGACTGACCCCCTGTCACTAGCTCACAATGGCGCCCCTCTCAAGGGAAAAAGTCGCCCCCTCGAGCACCATGGCCACCCCGCTTTCGATGGTTTCTGGCTACGCCACTGACTGTAACAGTTATACCCTTGTAACCGGAGTTTGCTGTGTGACAGCTTTTCGAACGTCTTCGACCAGCTGGTTTTTTAGCAGCCGGCTTTCGTCACAGTCTGTGGATTGTGGAAGCCATGCATTTACAGACGGCCGGCGCATAGCCTTCCGAGCGTTTTCCTACTGTGGGCGCCAACAAAAACTGGCCGTCTGCGCGGCGTGGCATTTCACCCATGTCGCTCGGGCACGGCGCCGTTGAAAGTGGACCGAAGTCGCCGCGCCCACTCGCCAACTATATAACGAATGCAGGTCATGAGGCGGCTAGCAGTGGAAGTGCCAGTGCCGGACATGCAGGCTGTGTACAAGGTAAGGGCCCAGCGCGGCGATGGGGAGAAGAGGGTCGTGCCGGTCGCTGAGAAAGACGTCTGATGGGGCTGTGACTGACCGCCGACTGACCCCCCGACTGACCGACGACTGACGGACCGACGTGGCCCCTCAGGTGCTGCTCCTGTCGCCGCTGGCGCTGTGCGCCGCCCGACCCGACTCTCGGCAGCTGAGTCACGCCGGCGGCGACCTCCAGGCCGCCGCCAGCGCCATCGGACCCACTAACGTCTACGTCGGAAAGAGCTATCCTGTCGGCCATGGAAGCGGATATGGCGGAAGCGGGTACGGCGGCGGGCACGGAGGCGGGTACGGAGGTGGTTTCGAGTTTGGCGGCAGTAGCGGCGGTTACGGCCTCCGCTCGGGTGGCGGCTACGGCCTGGGCGACCAGGTGTACAGCGGCGGTATTCACGCCGGCGCCAGTTCCGGCTACACGCACGTCCTGCAGGTGGACGACTACGAGGGCTACGGCGGCGGCGGCGGCGGCCACAGCGGCCACTACCTGTACGGTGACCCGCGCCAGGGCTTCTTCAAGCAGGGTGAAAAGCACCGTGGTAAGGGCCGCGGAGGCAGGCGGGGCAAAAAGAACGGCGGCGACGTGCATGTGATCTACATCAACGGCGCAGGCAAAGGCGGCCACGGTGGAGGCCACGGCGGCGGATACGACTATGGCTATAGCCACGGCCACGTCAGCTCTCACTACGGCAGCCCTCACAAAAGCATCGGCCCGGCCGACCTCATCAAGTGGGCGTATGTGGGACGCGGCAAACACTGACGCGAGTCGCTCCTAGCCGCCGCCGACTGACTTATGCTCGCGCAAAGGCGGTCACCGCTTCCAGCCAGCAGCTCCGCCACCAGCTCAACCGACCACCACTGGACCACTCATGCCTGGCATCCTTCTGCCACTGTTGCTGGCTCCTACGCATGCTACAGTCATACGAATTTTGTTTCGCCGTAGTTATGTTACAACATTGCAAAATTAAACGCTACGTCACCAGAGTTTCGCTACATCTCGCAAGATTTGCATATAAGCCACCTTTATTCGGCCTCGTCTTTCGGGTCATGACTAACTAATCTCCCAGTCCCGCCCCCGCCCGAGCGGCTGCCGTGCGACCTGCTGCCATTCACTCCGTGTGTATCCTGTAGGCTGCGCCCCTCCAGCTGCGTGTCGTGTCCGTGTCCTGTCTAGCTGCGTGCCGTGTGCGTGTCCCCCCCCCCCGTCCTGCACCCGTGCGTGTTCTAATAGTCATAGGCTGCCAGTCCCATATGTCCGTGCAAGAAGACTGCATTTCTTGGTGTTTGTGTACTTAAGTAAGCCAAGTTAGTTTAAGTGTTGTGTGTCGTCTGCTTTTTCTCTTTGTTTTGCCGATTCCGGAACAGTTTCTTTTATGAACGCTTGTTTATGATACTCAACAACATTTACGACTTTCTTATCAGTAATTCGCTCTAATTAGGATATCCAGTACTTAAGAAATAAAAATATATCCATGTCATCTTTCTAAATCTCTCATTCGCTTTGCCCTTATTCTGTTTAAGTTGTGCACTTTCTACAGTGTCTAGCTGTAAACTGCCAGTATTAAATTTCTCAAGAAACCCTTTATTTTTGGAATACGGTGAAAAATTGTCCATACCCATGAAGATGCTATCAATGTATTTTTATCTGATGAACACCCTAGTTTTCCTTTACTTCAACACTTCATAAAATGAATGTGGCCTGAAATGGAACTCGCACATTAGTGTCTTAACGCCAGAAATTAGCCGTTTCCATAAACGTTCCTATAGAAGCGTGCCTCAACACCACTGATGCACCTGAGCTACGCCTATGTTCTGTGGACAACTGCCAGATGTCCATCTGACTGATCGGCTGTCATCACTTTCAACATTGATGTGGCCGGTGAATATTGCACCCACGGACATTCATATGTTCTCTCCGTCTCCGATACGAGTAATGGAATAAGTTTTTTATCAGTTTAATTTGGCTCCAATGATTATCATTATTTTTACTGTTATTTCTATTAGGTATTACTATTATTATAATTGTCATTACCATTATTATTATTATTATCATCATTTCAATTATCCCTAGTGTAAACCATTGCAAATGGACTTTGTCTTTCATTTTAAGTAATGCTGAACACTAACAATCAATTTAGGTACAACATACATTTGAATGTTTATTTGTTTTTTTATGCACCTATATTAAATGGTTACTAATAAAAAGTCTTACCTGATGGATGTTATGTTCTTGAGATAAAAAACTAAAAATTTAGAAAATTTGCCCTACATTGCGTCCCATGAGACTTTTCCACCATAGAAGTCCCATGAGTACACTTTTTAGTATAAATTTTGTCCGAACCTTTTGAATAGGATTGGCACATGCCTGTCCCGTAGCTCAGTTGGAAGAGCATGGGACTCCCGGTAGTGAGAACCCGGGTTCGAGACGCTCCGGCGCTCGATATTTGAGACTCCTAACGGGGATGGTCTGCGGTTGGTGGGAGCAGCCGCAGCCAGTTGAAGTCAGTTGAGTGCGACAGGCCGTGTCCGGCTTTGAAGGACACGCTAAACGTTGGGCATCTAAATTCTCCCGTTACCCGGAATTGCGCGATCGGACGGTAGGGGTCGGGGTCTACGCAACAAGCTCTGCTTAGCGTGGGCTTCGGCTCTGTCAATCCATCCATTCAAACATTCGAGCTAAATTTATTTTTAAAAAAGTGGACAGAGTCCCCGCTAAGCTGAGCTTGTTGTGTTAGCCCTGCCTTCTACCCTCAATTCGCGTAATTCCTGGTCTATGGCAGAACATAGAGTCCGAAGTTTGACGTGCGGACATAGCCGCGCCTGGCCGGTCCCCTCGCTGACTTCGGCTGGCTGCGGCCTGCCACCAATCGCAATCATACCTACCCATCATGAGCCCCAAACATCGAACGCCCGTCCCGCTTCAAACCCGGTCTTTCACAACTGGGACGTGTGCTCTCACCACACAGAGTCCGATGCTCTTTCCTGGTCCCATAGCTCAGCCAGTCAAATATTTATATTATTATAGCTCAGTTAGATCAAATATTTTAGTTCAAACATTTTGATAATATAACATGAACAAAGGCTATTTGTTATAACAATGATCGCTATAACTACAATGCCCAGTACAGCACTTAATCGAAGTTGCATTTATAATTTTATTAGCTCACTGTATCTCTCTAAATTTTGCTCAAATCTACAATTTGAGCAATTCACCTTCATAAAACAGAATGCTTTGAAAACAGGTAATTCAAAGAAGCATACTTGGACCCAATAATTTTCCTTTTGAGCTTCTTTCTAGAGTTCATTAGGTTATTATGCATGGAAATGTGGGGTAATTTGAGCAGTGGGATAAGATTACCAGCGTCTTTTTCTCGCCTTCTATAGCCCAAGTATTAACCGTTTTTACTATGCAAGTGGGTGACAATACTCACAACCATCACCACAGAATTGGTTGGAATAAATGAAAGTAGTCATGGCTGTATTGCAAAAAAAAAACGCCTTCACCTCATGAAAGCTAATGGTCGTGATTTAAGCAATGTATTTTTAATCAAAACATTAATTAAAAGCAAAATATGTTGGCATCTTTCTGGCTGTGCATTCTCTGTATCTCTTCCAGAGTGTTGACTGTTGAGCCGTTAATTCTTTCTGAAAGCATTCTGTTTTATGTAGAGTATAGTTACGTGAATTTAGCCGTAGGTGTGGCAAGATGAGCCATTCTCTACTGCACATATCTGCCTGTACAATGCCTAAATTTGATATATGCCTGAAACCTCATTATTTACCACGTACTTGTTGGAAAGTTAGTCTCGTCCAAGTTCTCAGTCTGATATGATATTGTTGTCTCAAACTTCTATCATACATCGCATATTGGGGTAAAATCCACGATTCTCTTAATACCAGAGCATGGACGTCCGGAAAACACGCGTTGTCATTCGTTTAGAATCGGCCTTAAAATGTTTCTTTTCAGAACCAATCAATCAATTTGTTCCGTCAGGTAGTTTGACCAGCTTTGCCCCGCTCATAGAGTAAGTTCATGAATTTTTCACATTGTTATTAACCTTCATTTACATAGTAAACTTCTCTAAAGATAATGCAACGTTTTTTGGGGAGTAGATGAGTGTAAGGGTGTAACCTGCTATTGTTTGGTATATAACTGCGTTGAGTTGCATTGTTGCGTTGTTGGCGAACATTTACTTTGGAAATGATAGGCAAACAACGGAAATCAATGCGTTTTTTTGTTTTTGTTTTCGTTTTTCTTTATCAGGAATAATATCTTCTTTTTGTCGTTTTCGTCACGGCCAATTTCATTTATGGTTAGCTGGGCGCTCTCATAAAAGGTCAATAGTTAATGCCTTTGCCTGTTATGTGTTTGTACTTCCTTATATGCCCATTGCCCACTGTTTCATATATTTCATTTTTTAGCTTCACGTTACTTAAGTGCTGTTATAGACAGCAAGCCATACAATTTGTAAAATCACCAAAAGCAAAGTCAGAATTCCTTATCTTGCAAGTTCCTAAAATTCAGTTGTTACAATCCTCAGCCTCCCCGTAGTGCTCTAGTAGCCTCAGAAGACTTGGTATAGTATACAGCTCTAGCGAGACATGCAGCGACCTTGCACTGCACTGCTGGCATGCACTGCTTTAACGTTGTCTTGGTGTGCTTATGATATGCAGAGGGCAATGCAGCTGTCCCGTGTTCTCTGTCGATACGTGCTGCTGTTTGGAAATTGTCGTCAAATCTATCTTCCAAAGACTATAATAGTCTAGACTATAATAATTAAGACTTATAATCTAGCTAGTATTATTCAAATAAATGGACTACACTGATTTCAATCAAGAAGTCTCTTCTTCCTTCAAAATTTCAGCAAACTAGCAAAATTTCCTGGATTTGCCGATGTCTTATCCTCTCATTGAGGTAGCCGTCCTTCGGTACACGACTATACCAAACATCATACATGTGCATGGATCCATTCATATACCAAACATCATACATGCGCATGGATCCGAGTGATGGATCTATGATCCCACCAGATCTGGCATGAACATTTATCATGAATCTATGATCTGAGTGGATCCCACCATGCACAACATTTAAAACCAGGTTTCTGAGTGGTTCTATGTCGATAAGTGTCACACAACTATGGATTGGGAGCATTCACATAAAATCACTAAAACAGAACGTTAAAAGATAAACTCGGGTCCATGATCCCTACGGATCTCTCGATAAATTAAAAATATGGATATATGATCTCGTCGGATCCGAGATCAGGATTCGTAAGGACAGATCCCAGATCCATTTTCTCGGATCCAGGCACATGTCTGCCAAACATGGCAGCGTTACGAGCCAAATGGCTACGTGAGATAAAACATTGTGTACTTTGTCTTGCAAGTTTTTTTCATTCAATCTTTTTTTGTGGTGAGTTTCGATTTCCAGTATTAACCAGCGCCACACTCCCTCGACCTCCCTTCCACTCGAATCATCTGCCAAAGATGATTTTATTTCGCCAATGTTATTGTGATTCTGGCATCATTTAGGCGTTCCGCCATTTACATTCGTATCTTCTTTAGTGTAACCATCTCAAGGCCTTTGTTGCCACACAATAGCCGTTTTCACAACGGGCTATCTGGCGAATGCACCTAATTCTCACCAAAGCTGCACCAAATCTCTTTGATAACAAATATCTTCATATAATGAGTTTATTTCACGGTTTTAATGGATGACAATGTCTGATGATATGGCAAGGCAAGTATGTAATTAAGCAATTAGTGCAACCTAGCTGATAGCTACTAAGAAATACACTGAACCTGATTTGAACCAAATTCTCACCAAATATGCACCTAATCTACACCAAATGTGTACCAGATGGCCGTCGTGAAAACGGCTAAGGCCACTCCAATGCCGCGAAGATGAGATCAATTACGTGATATCGAAATCACCCTATCTCTCTTTGAATTGAGATAGTTTCTGAATGTTTTGTGCGTGCTGCTTCATTAATTCGCCACAATGTGATTATATGTGTCTAACTATGACTTGTTCCCATGCATATATCACTCCGTCTTCTCCATATCTTGCCGCTTCAACAAGCTCTGCGCTTGGGTGATTGTTTCTCACTTGCCGATAACTTAGGCTGCTGTTACTATGTCGTGTTTGTGGTCGGGAAGGCGGTCATATGCGTTGTTTCCTAATGAATTCGCTAAAAAATGTACATGTTTCTCTGGAGAACCGTTGTTCGTTATAATAGAGTTTCTTCAGCAATCTGACAGCAGCTGCGCCGACAATTGGACTGACAGCGGCCTCCACTGGCTTATGGTCATCAATGGAGTTAAGTATAGACAATTACTACCCTTACCCGAGACTCGCTACTTTTCACCACGCTTTCGGCGCTGAGGCTTGCTTGCGCGTTATCAAGAATTTGGCTCGAAAGTCAAAATACTGGCCTCGAAATGAATTAAGCAGTGTTCATTGTCAACCCAAGCCCGAGCCTCCCCCCTCAACTTGTTTGCGTCCCCAGGTGTCCCCTAGCTGACCCTGCCGCGCGCTGCACGGTTGCCCCTGCCGCTGGGCACATCGCACGGCCGCACAAAGCAGCTCTTTGCAGTCTATCGTCCATTGCACACCTGTCTCGTCCAACCTCTGCTTTTTTGACAAGCTGTGAGAGTAGGGTAGCTGTGGCTGCTGTCAGTGCTGCACTGACCGTGACCCCGGCTGACCGGGCCGGACGTGTTTAGGGTAGCTGTGGCTGCTGTCAGTGCTGCACTGACCGTGACCCCGGCTGACCGGGCCGGACGTGTTGCAGCTGATGGCGCTGGCGGCGCTCGCCGTCAGATCTTCTGCCGAGGGCGGATACGGCCACGGGCACGGGCACCGCGGCCCGGCGCGCGTCGTCATCCACAAGCAGGCGTACGAGCAGCCGATCCGGTCCGTGTACCACGTGCCGGTGCAGCACTACACCACCACGCCGGTGGTCTACACGGAGCCCTACTACGACCACTACGGCCACAAACGCTACGCTGAGAAGGTGCGCTACGAGCAGCGGGTGCACCACACGCTGCAGCCCATCACCCTGCACCAGAAGATCAAACATGACGTCGTCACCGTCCTGCTGCCCAAGAAGCGCGCCTACGGCGGCCACGGCGGCCACGGTGGCGGGTACGGCTACAGCAGCTACGGGTACGGCGGCTCCGGGTACGGCGGCGGGGTGTACTACGGCCCGGGCGCCGGGTTCGGCCACTGAGCGCGGCAGCGGGCCGCCGACCGGCCCATCCCACCACTGAGCACTGAGCAGCGCACCAGCAGCCTGCCCTCTTTGTGTGACGTGGGAGCTAGGCATCTGGATGTGCCAATTACAGCAAAGTTACGAAGACGTGCTTTGGTGCTGCAACACCGTTGGCATGGCATGAGTTGCGCGATGTTATTGCAGTCGAGACGGCGTAGTCTGCTATGATCCGATTTCTATAATTTATTGTGCTTTATGGATCATGTAAAGCTATGCATGTCAAAATTTGCACTCAACATTGGACGTGCTGGTCTCGAAGCTTTCAGCATTGCTGATCAATGACAATGGCATGCTCATCGTTAGCAGCTTATGGTGTTAATGATATTGTCAGTGCTAACGTTTTATACTGTTAAGTATGCATAATTATATAACATGTTATGGCTTTCATACAAATACATGCAGTTGGTGCAGATGAACCTTTTAAGATGCCAATCCGACATATGAAAACTCCTCTCCTCTTCAGGCCTGTGCCTGCCTCACCGCCCGGCGCCCGGCCCCGCCCCGACGTCTAGGGCTTTGACGCCTAGGTATTCATCAGGACCCCACACCGGTCCATGATGGCTCCAAACTGACACCTGAGGCTCCTGCACCGACTTTTGATGGACCCACCGGCCTCTGATAGCCGCCACGCAGGTCTCAAAAGACAATGTCGATTGTCGATATCTAAACCCCCAAGTCTTGGAAGGTCTGTACTCTATGTACAGACCTTGAGACTCTTGTAGACTCTTGAGGGCTTTACGTGGGCTTGTAAATGCCCCAAACTGGCCCTAGACCAGCTCGACCGCGCCCCGCAGAGCAGGGCCCCAGGCTTTCCAGTTTTACGCCCCTGAGGGGTGTTTGAATATTCCCTTCTAACCTGACTCCAGGGTCACGTAGCGACAAGCGCGGCGGTAGGCGGCTTTCTAAAGAGCGTTGAAAATCACGGAGAAATTACTTTAGTCATGTTGCAGTTCAGACCAAAGCCCACGTCGTCATGTTCATCGAAGGAAAAGCTTCGCCTATTTCGACACTCGAGGACATATAAAGCTATAGCGCGCTGAAAGTGGGTTCGATAGCTCTCTAACGCGCGCAATCAGCCATGGGGCCAAACCCGATCATCTAACAAAAATTTAAGAGGGCTAGAAAGACGAGAAAAAGCAACAGATAGCTGTAGGATGCTTCAGAATCGTAGAGGTCATATTTCGATTAGGTCATCGTTGAGGTCATTGAAGATAAAATAATGATAAAATTATGATAAACAAAGACAAGATTACGACGGAAAAATTCTTGTTTTTATATTTTCACAAATAACCGTATAACAGTCGTGAACCAAATAGCTAAAGCTTCGCGGAATAACTCATTCGATAGCCCTTTCAAAACGCTTTCGCTTTTAACCCTCGCCGGCCGAGGGGGGGGGGGGACGGGTGCCGCCCCCCATAGGGTTTTTTCGCGATAGCTCCAAACACGCTGGCGATAGAGAGCTGAAACTTGGCATACCTGACCTTTGATTCAAGCAGGATCTTTTGACACCAACCGCATTTTCGGGTCAGGTCAGGTCACTGACCTATGACGTCATAAGTGAACCTCTGCACGGTCTTCAGATGTCGAACTCGCAACTCCGCAACGCCCTCACTGCCAGAGGAGCTTTCACAGGGAAATGAAACTTGCAGGATCTAGTATCCATTACGAGTCTCACAACTTGTATATCTCAGATTTTTCCTACAGGTCATATGAGGCCAGGTCATTTTCGTGACCTCACCATTATACCTAAGTTAATGGGGAAAAATTAAAATTGCTATTCTGGCGCCGGGAACGTCTCCAACTATCTCAAGCACACATAATCGTGGTTTGATGCACTCCTTGCAAGGTTAGATGCGTCACTTTTGCAATGTTGACCTTGTGTGACGTCACTTATGACGTCATCAAGGTTATATTAGTTTTTCGTCAATAACTCCCGATCAAATTGAGCTAGCGAGTCGGGAAGCCACTAATGGACTCAGGACGACCTGCCAAATTGAATGATGTGCGACATGACCTCTTTCGACCAACTTCGTGACCTGGGGGCGCTGACCTGATCGTGACCTGAGGTCAACACTCTAAGTTGACCTGACCCAAACAAAGAGTACATCATTCGACGCGCCTGAGCGAGGCGAACACGATGCTGCCAAAATCGTGGCTCTGCGGCCGTTTTTTTGCGAAATTATTCACCAAAAACTGAACCGTACCTTGGGACACTTGACCTGACCTCAGAGGTCACCGGTTGACCTAGGACCTTCAAATCGGGTACCAATCTCTGCGTCTTGTAACGGCGCACACGCTCGTTTTTTCCGCGACGCGCTAGCTCTACCAGGGGCGAAACGGCGAGGGGGGGGGGGTCATACCTGCCCCCTCGGCCGGCGCGTATGTAGAAAACCAATAGGTCCGGCGAGGGTTAAGATTTGACCTCAATGCCTCATGTGAACGGTTTCGCAACTGAGCAGAGGGCAAAACCATCTAAATAGTTGCATTTTACCAAAATAATTTTGCTAAGAATTTTTGCAAGAACGTTGGTGAGAAAAACTATGAAACATTTACATTTTACTTTGTCATCATTTTCTCGTTAACATGCATCGAATGAGCTACCTATAGGTAATTTCACATAAAAGTTCAACTTTAAAATGTGACTGCAGATCAAGGTCATGCCCTTACTTGAAAAGTGCATGATGGTCTTCTACCGATCCGTATGGATGACCTTAACACCTTCAAGACAATGTCATTACTCTACCTCGTCTCCTAAATCAAAAGTAATAGTCGAAAAACTGATGTTGAGCTTTTTTAAAAGCTTTTTGACCTAGCCCGACCCTTTGAGTGGCCGGTGGCCATCAATGGCACGCTGTCCATCCAAGGGCTCCGTCACGACCCGATGGTTGGGGGCGGGGGGGGGGGGAGACGAAGGCCGTTTAAAGTCGATTCCTTCCATGCAACGTGCCCATAGGCGTAGTGTTAAAAATGTAAAATATTGGAGGGTGGGGCACGTCCCCCCGTCCCCCCCGGTGGCGGAGCCCTTGTGTCCATCAAATATGGGCAGAACGGTCGTGTTTCTGTAAATATACTGTTGTTTTTGACGTGCCTCTTCAGATCAAGAGATATTTGTCCTTTTCCTCGATTTGTCTGGTAACGATGAGGACAAAGATATGATCTGACCACAGATCAGAGTGTTAACCTGCGACCGCCTGGGGGGGGGGGGGTCGGATCCGACCCCCCCTCCGTTTTCTTGAATAACTCATGAACCACTTACGCTATCAACTTGAAACTTGGCATACCTTCTCCCCCATCAATTTGACGTCTTTTGTGCAATTTTGAAGAAAATTTGTTCAATTTTTTTTTTTTTAGATATATCGATTTTAGTGATGTAACTACATGACGTTTTCAGTCAAAAAGTGGTAAATGTTAAAAAAAAAATCGTCAAAAATCAAAGTTTAAAGCAAATTGCAAATTAGGGACATGAATAGACGCAGCTCAACGAGTTCTTTAAAATGGTATCTTGGATTTACCATAAAATGCGTTTTTCATCCCTAAAAATAAAAAAACTACTTTTTTGGAAAACAGCTAAAAAAACCAAAATTTTGAGAATTTCCAAAAAACGGAATACATGTTATAGAGCTGTATTAGAACATTAGATGTCCCAAATTTCAACTTTCTATCTTGATTTTTGACCCCCAAATTGTAAAACATAGCTCCAACATGCATAGGGCATGGTGACGTCATAAGCAGTTTCGTGAATTAGAGGCACTTTTGAACATCGTATGTGAAAACAAATGGCACCACTAGATTCCTGGGACAAAGCTCGTCTAGAAAAGTACATTTTTATGTCAAAAATAGAAAGTTGAAAAATTGACTTTTTTCTTAGCCCTCGTTTAGTTATGTATGGTATAAACGATTTTTATGCTTTCAATGCACACTTATCACCAGCACAGTGACTTGGGGTCACATATAAACATCACCATCGGATTAGGCGTGAAAAATAAGCCATAAAACATGTGTCGCACGCCCATGTAGCAGAAAGTGATAACCGTGACCATTCGTGACCTGACCTGACCTTGACCCGTACTTAGTATGACCCCTACACGCACATGGTCCCTTTACTAGGTCTTTGAGGTCATTTTTGGTGAGTTTCGAGCAGCAGCTATCGATTCCGCTGGCCGCAAGCCTAATCATGCAAAACCCCAGAATTTGACCTTTGACCTGACCTTGACCCGTAAGTTGACCTCAATCTTAAAATCTTAAGAGTGCTTTGGGAAGGTCTCGTAGAGACCTTTCGAAAGCAATAACTACATACGGTTTAAGAGTTATAGCCAGTGGCATTTTTCAAAATACTCGGAGTAACCCTCTTTTTGACTCGTATCATATAAAAATATGGCCAGTAACTTACATTAAAGGAAGGGTGCCACCTTCCGAAATTTTTGTTCTATGAATCTATTTTACTTATTTGAATTTTTAGACGTGGTTAGCGCGTCCACAATATACAAAAAACCGAAACATTGCATTTAATACATTGGCCAAAAAAAAGATCGTTGTTTATATCACCACTACAACTCAAGGTCGTTTGATGTGGCAGCTAGGACGGCTGGCATATCCTGTTGTCATGGCAACATATCATTCTGCCATTTGCATTGATGGCGCAACTGAGACAAAAAGATGAACAAATAAAAAGGAAGAAGATAACATGATTTGAACTAAGTTGTAGGTAACCAAGTAGGTAACTGTTGGCCATATTTGCCACCTAATTGGTAATGACGAGTAAAGTCGAGTAAAGGTTTTTCCTTTACAATGCTTAAGAGATCTATGGAACCCTTCACCCTTCATGCAACTTACTAGAAAAACTTCCCAATTAAAATTTTAAAACTTAAGTGTATACCATAAAGAAAAAATATACCCTTTCAAAATGATAAAACATGCTTCAAAAGTATAACTTTTATGCATACCTTTGCTGATTTCATGTTTTATAAAATACCCTTAACACGACGAGGAAATAGTGCTGAAGATTTTTGCCTGCCCGAATGCTGGCAGCAAAACTCGCAAATGATAACTTCACGTGCGGATTCAATGCTGACCGTCTCGAGCATAGGTAAGTGAAGCCGGTTTTTAGGTTCATGTGAGGCTAATCTTGTAAAAACTGCGTTGTGTCCAAAAGGTGGCACCCTTCCTTTAATATTTATATCATTGGAATCCTCATTGACTGTAGAAAATTAATCAAGCAAAATATTTTGAAAATTTTCAAAATCACATTTTTATAATTCATAGTTTTTTATTTTTGATTTTCAAAATGTAGCCATTATATTTTTGACAAAAAGATGATGCCAAAAGATGCCTCTGGATATGGAAATTTCATATAACGAAAATTAGGAAGGTGTTTTGCCTTTAATTTTTTATATAATTTCTTATTCACGGCAATGTTTAGGGTAAAAGGGAACATTTGGTGACACGTTCCGAAACCAATCTTTCTCCAACCCTCATACCCTCGAAATATTTTATGAAAATTATAGTCTGGCAAACCTAAGAAAGAATGGAGTTAAAGTGCCGGAATCACTTTGCACGTGTTTGATCACTAGCAATCCATGTATGGTTCGGATAAAATTTGTGTGAAAAGTCGCGGAAGAAAGGGTGCAGTTATTTTTTTACATCTTAGTTTTTGTTTACGCGTTTTTAGACGTTTTTCGGCGCACAGTTTTTGAAGTTATACAAGCCTATTTTACAGCTATTTTCGACTTGCAAAACTGCTGCAATTTTTATAACTTTTTTTTTGCATATTGACATTTTGATGGAATTGGAATGCTTTCAGTGGCGCGGGAACTTCTTCCAGACTGGGGGGGCTGAACCATAATAGAGATCAACCTAGGGTACCCCCAAATCTAGTTTTCTCACCGGTTTTAGGCCACTTATTTTTCAGACCTTGGCCTTTTCAACAAAAAAAAAAACACGAAAATATTTTCAAAAAGTGAGGTATTCCGTCTCAGCTGAGTGAAGAAACTACCATTTTGGTAACCTGGAGTAAAGGTTTTAATCTGCCAAATGAGTTGCCGAGCCAGTGAAATAGGTGGATTTTTCACTTACATGCTTTCTTTCTTTGTGACCCACAACCCCTAATTTGGGGAGGACAAGCTACCCAACGGTTCCTGGCCTCATGAAACGTTGTGGTGTACCGCCCCCACGGCCGCAGAGTTGTGGGGGCAAGCTTCCCCCACTGCCCCCTCCCCCGGTTCCCACGCCTATGTATGAATCTATGAAATTATGTTGGTAGATTTCCGATTTCGATTCCTCCAGCTGGGGGGGCTCAAATACATTACAAGCCCCCCCAGCCGAAAAGCTGGGGGGGCTCAGCCCCCCCTTGCCCCCCCGGTTCCCGCGCCACTGAATGCTTTTAAAGATGTTTATTCTTAAAATCTTGAATGCCAATATAATTACAAGGTGAATCGAGCCACGCTCGTAGCGAAATATTGCGAATCAATGATAATAACAGTAACCGGCAGAAAACATGTAGTTACCGCGATTGTATAAGATAATACTGGATATTCCGCGTAAAATTGACAGGAGATATCACAAGAATAATAGCTTAAACAAATATTGAATTAACTGAAAGCTCATGATACCCACTTAGCACTGCTAACGCTGACCATTTTCTTCAAACATTAAATGTTTACCATACCATACCATCTGAAGATAATGAACTCGAACCTCGAAAAGCGAGTTGTCCAGTTTCAATCTCAGTTTGTGGGGTACTGGGATACATTTATTATTGAATCAAATGAAAATTGTCCGGGGCATCATGCTGTGATTATATGAACCAGTTACTATGTACGAAATCTAGTCATTGGCCAAACGTAACGGCCACGGACCGTAGGTTGACGACCCCGAAATTTAGCAAATGAAGTGTAGGTTCAAGCAGTTTAGATAATGCTGGTGCGTGGAGTTGAATAGTGATGTAAATGTGGTCACAGCCTACAAACACGATAACAAATATCGATTGCGCTTCGCTCAACCAGAGCCATGCTTGTTCTTACTCATGGAACAGTGCATCCCCATAAAATAAAAAGTCTGAACGAATGCATTCTGGTTCCTGTTGTATTATGGTCCAACCCCCGCACGGCTCCTGGCCGCGCCTGCGCGCGCCCCTGCCGCCGCCACCGCTGGCCGCCCCGGCTCCGTGCCTGTGAGCGCCTCTGCCGCCGCCAGCTGACTGCGCGCCGAGCGGCATGACTGGCGCGGGCGACTAGGCGCGGCGCTCGCCATACTTGTTATCTCTTCTTGGACACTCTTTCGGCGTGAACGTATCGCAGTAAATAAATCGCGTTTTTCATTGATTGTGTGCTCTTTCACTCGAAACGAACCAAAACATAACATGGCGCGGTCGGTTTTGTAATTATGTGATTGAGCTTACAGCGCGATGTCTAAAATTATCGTTCAAGAACTGACGGCACTGCTGGAGAGGCAGGTGAAGAGAGCCGCCGAGGCCGACAAGCGCCTGGAGCGCTTGGAGAGGCTCCTAACCGGGGAGCCCTCCGCGGGGACGGACGTAACGACCGGAGTGTCAGAGTCTGGGGCTGAGCGAGGCGCTGATGGATCCGTTGGACCAGCTGCCGCCGCCCGCCGGACTGTCTGCCTGCCGGTGTCGGCGACCCCGACCCCGCGACCGAAGTCGGCATCGACGTGCGACGACCGTGCCGAGTGCAGTGTGCCCGACAGTGGTTCAGGAGCGGTGAGCCGCAGGCTGGAGGACTCTGAGCTGACGCTCAAATACGCCGTGAACGTTTGTCGGGCGAGCGATGGTGCCCGTGTCACGTGCCCAGACCTCCGCGGCAACGAGGGACATTCCGCGGCGCGCCTGCCGGCCTACAAGAGGCGCAGACGGCCGAGTGTCGCCCATTCCGCCACCGCTACAGACCGGGATCGTCAGTTTCTTGAGCGTTGCCCTACCTGCGGCCGTCGCCAGCACGCCGGCGGAGACACGTGTCGCGCCGCTGGCGCCATCTGTCGTGCGTGTGGCGAACCAGGACATTTTGAGGTGGTGTGCCACCAGAGGGCGAGCACCACGGCCGATCGTCCAGTGGCGACATCTGCAGTGACGAGAGTACGAGACTCTCCGGGGGTGGCGCTAGTAGCGGTAGCCGCCGGCACCGCCGTGTCACCGCCGCCGGCGGACACGGGCGAAGCCGGGCACACTGCGCTGCAGCCCACGGAGCTGAGTGACGCTGCTGACGCCTATGGAGCCTCACCGCCGCCGGCGGGAGGCATCCCAACTTGGAGCACGGACCGAGTGCACGGAGCCTCGCCGCCGCCGGCGGGAGGCCCATCGGTAGCCACCGGCGCCGCCGTGTCGGTGCCGCCGGCAGACACGGGCCGAGGAGCCGGCCGTACCGCGGCGCAGCCCACCGAGCCGGCTGGCGCGCGCGGAGCCTGCCCGCCGCCGGCGGGAGGCTGGCCGGCGCAGACCATGGAGGCAGCCCCCGGCGTGTCATCGCCGCAGGCGGACACGGACCGAGCTGGATGTACCGCGGCGCAGCCCACCGAGCCGGCTGGCGCCCACGGAGCTTCGCCGTCGCCGACGGGAAGCCTTCCAACGCGGACCAGCCATGCAAACGAAGCCGCTGGTGACGCCGTGTTGCCGCCGCCGGCGGACACGGGCCAGCCCGGGGCCACTGCGGTGCAGCCTGCAGGCCCGGATGGAGCCGCTGAAGCCTACGGAGCCTCGCCGCCGCCGGCGGGAGGCCTACAAACGCTGAGCACGGGCCGAGGTGCAGCTGCCGGCCCCGCCGTGTCACCGCCGCCGGCGGACACTGGCCAGATTGGGTGCACCGCCGCGCAGTCTACCAGGCCGGCTGCCGCCTACGGAGCCTCGCCGCCGCCGGCGGGAGGCCTACCCACGCGGACCAGGGACGGAGGTACAGCCGCCGGCTACGCCGTGTCGCCGCTGCCGGGGGACACCAGCCAAGCCGACTGTTGTGCGGCACAGCCCACCGAGCTGAGTAAGACTACTGACGTCTACGGAGCCTCGCCGCCGCCGGCGGGAGGCATGCCAACTCGAAGCACGGATGGAGGCCCAGCCGCCAGCACCGCCGAGTCGCCGCCGCCGGCGGGCACCGGCCAAGCCGGCTGTAGTCATGCGGCGCAGCCTACCGAGCTGGCTGACGCCTACGGAGCCTCGCCGCCGCTGGCGGGTCCGCCGGTGACAAGTCCGACCGGCGCGGTGACACGAACCTCGGTGACACCACCCTCCACTCGGTCGAGGTGGTGGATGACCTGCTCGGTCCGACCGTCGATGACGAGGTGTGGGAGGACGCTGAGGACCCGCTTCACGCAGCTGCCGTCGCAGCTATGCTCGCTGAGCGGGATACGGAGTGCGACTCGCGTCTGCCGCCGCTCGTGGCCCCGAGTCCAGGGGTGACCAGAGCCGCCGCTGGCCGCGACCCGTGGCCGCCACCGACACCGGAGCGACGCCTGCCGCGGACCTCCCCGTGCGACGGCGGGCGCGCCCGCTGCAAGAAGCGCCCGAGACGCCGCGGAAGAGAGCGCAGGCGCCGCCGTCTGCACCGCGCTGCGGTGGCCTTGTGCGCCCGGACCCCGGAGGGTCCGCTGTGGCGCCTTGGAGTGAAGACGATGTGATCGTCTTGGGGGGGAGGTGTTGTATTATGGTCCAACCCCCGCACGGCTCCTGGCCGCGCCTGCGCGCGCCCCTGCCGCCGCCACCGCTGGCCGCCCCGGCTCCGTGCCTGTGAGCGCCTCTGCCGCCGCCAGCTGACTGCGCGCCGAGCGGCATGACTGGCGCGGGCGACTAGGCGCGGCGCTCGCCATACTTGTTATCTCTTCTTGGACACTCTTTCGGTGTGAACGTATCGCAGTAAATAAATCGCGTTTTTCATTGATTGTGTGCTCTTTCACTCGAAACGAACCAAAACATAACAGTTCCTACCACTGAATCAACTTACAGGTTGATTTTTTTTAACTGTTAAAAAGTAAACGTCAATGGTGGTCCCTAAATCGAAAAATCGCGTGCAAAAAAGCAATGCACGTGATATATAAATCTGGGACATTTTGTATGGTGTCATCATTTGTCCCTTTTCACCGACGGCCTCGGCCCCAATGGAGCCTGAAAATGTCCCACCAATCGGGCACGCATGGTCCACTGCCGTTCAGTAAGGAATGACACAAAACGATTATTTTGAAGCATTGAGGCAGTTCGAAGCATACGATGATCAAGGAGATACCTCAGAAAGACGTTAAATAACGCACCAACAAGCTTGTAGTCATAAATAACCTTCAAACGGTCAATCTGGCGTAAGTGCAGCCTCTGAAGAATCAGTCTTCAGGGAGAAAGAAAAACAGCGAATCAGACACCACCGGGGCCGTCAGTATCAAAATCCTCAATCTACCGTCCCTAGACTTGTAGTTTTTGGACCCATTTATGGCAGATATAACGAGAAAACAGTGGAAACATCTGGCAGAGCTGAAAATGGGCGATAGGAGCCTTTTCAGTCCGCCTAATGAGTATAGAAGTCCATGGTGCTGTTCAACACGTGCTCAGGCGGGCTGATTCGTGTCGGCGAGAGAGGGGGTTACTTCAAGCACAAGTAAAATACACGATGGACGTTCCTTCACATCGTGTCTGCATGAAATCAAAATGTCCCAGAATGCTCGTCATCCTGGTATATAATTTTGCAACATATATTTGCATTTTAACGCCACTAGACCTCATTACTTTTTAACAAGTAAAAAAATCACCCTGTATATTGAGATCCGTTTCTAAACAGGAACACAAACGCGGCCCATCAATTTGTCAGCACTAAGGCAACAGCGTCTGACAACGCATCAAACGGCCAACTTCTGACACTATCTACCAATACGATAACGGCAATAAAATTACATTGCAAAATGCAAAAAAAATGCACCATTTTCAAGCGCAGCTATTGACCACCAAGTGCGACCATTTAGTGTCTCGAGACACATTCCAACTGCATAGGTACCGCAGTAACCCGTTAGGGGCGAAAGGAAACACATGACTCGTGTACGACCAGCGTTCTGCCAGCGTACGACGCATAAAGCAAACTGCTCAAACAACTGCGATCCCGAACAACACAACACAGAGCTCCGAAACGAATGGTTTACAAAAGTCTACGACTGACGACATCGAAACAGTACGTTCATCGGGACTAGTCACATGACTCGCTCAACCCAGCTGGGTTATTGGTACTAAGTGCGCTTCAAATTGACCTCTGACAGCCATTTACGCTAGTTTGATGCATAAAACTGTACATTGAAACTCAAGCGGCAGCACATAGATCTCCATCAAGGTGGTTATATACAACAGAGCACCTCGCTAAAACGAGCGCGAGCCGCACTGTCACACTGCTCGGGGTTACATGAGCAGAGTTAATACGCATTACAAACGGACTACAATGGTGAGCGAATAGGAAAATCCGTTCCTGATACGCATTTACTTGCTCATGTAACCCCGGTAACTGACAGTTAACACTGAGCCGCGAGTCGTGACAGTCGCACTACGTCATACGCACGCAGATGTCGCACTCACGGCACCGTTGCTGGCACTGCGCTGCGGGTGGACACGCGCAGTGCAGTAACTAGCTCCACGGTGTGCGGCTCACCGGAGGGATTACCAGTCTCCGACCGGACAGTCCAGGCGGGAAGTGTGGTGTCTCCAATCATGACCGCCGTCCCCGTCTCCGCGGAGTGCCGCACGGCGGCGACGCGGCGGCGTCGGATCTTGAGCTGGTGGACACTGGACTCCTGCCACAGCTGCCAGCTTCAGCCCTTCAGCATCCTGTCATCAGCAAACTCCAGCAGAGCCCCAATGCAACTGGGAAAATAAAATTTGTGCTTTTAAGCCAAATTATGCAAAACATTTCCTTGCACAGGATTCTCTTTGGCAGTTCAGCAAAATCTTCTGTGATATCCATGGCCGTGACAAGAGGAGTTGATGCCATTGTAAAAAATATAAGCTCATTGGTTCTCATTTACCCACACCGAGACTCTATAGGTACCATTCATTTGTATATCATGAAGTATGTTAACTACACAATATAATTATGCAATAGACTGACATGAAATATGTAGGAATGGCAAGAGAGATGCGTAACTAAGCCAAATAGCTTGCATGATTTATTGGCACCAAACAGGTCAGAAAGTAGAAGTTCAAGCAATCTTAAAAACTACACCAGAGAAAGTCTTTGAATTAGGTACAAAATTATGCCACAGAAATAAAAACAATGCAGTTTTGCAGAGCCTTTCTCAAAAGATTATTGTAATTCAGTCTTGTTCCCATTCTAAGATTGAATAAATACAAATTATGAGGTGAAAGTTACTAAAAAGCAGTTTTTTTTAAAGAAAACAGCTTCAATCCATGCTTGCCTGATTCCAAACTCAAGGCAACATCTCATAGTTTTGACAGCATGAAATTTCATATGAAACCATATTGAGGTTACAATTTCCATAATCTTGTCACAAACAGTGCACTTTAATATGGATAACTAACACCAAATCAGCCAACCTTGCATCTTTATCTGGTGAAGCTCAAGAAACCAATAAAGCAAACAATTTCTGAGCAAAACATTTAGGTATTTGACAAGCTCGACTACTGCCATGCAGCCTAATGCTCAAGTTGATTACAAATTAAGTACCTACTTTTCAAATATAAATTCGGAAGTTCAATATATGATGAAATACCCAGCTCAATAGAGCCAAATATGATAATGACAGCATGTAAGCAAAGTAAAAATAAGATTAAAGATTTCTTCCACAGAAAAAAACACTTGTAATTTTACTCTATCACTTATTTGAATTATCAGTCATCACCAGACTTGCACAAAACTTTTTAGATATTATGCCACAAAAAATAAACAAAGTATCTCAAATTGTACAATATAAGCACCAGCCACTGGAGCGGTAGGAATGGGGTCTCGTAACTTGAACGTTCAGTCTGTAAGAGCATGCCTGACTTGACTTAAAGGCTTGGAGGCATCAACTTTGCAGCAGCTCCTCCTATTCTTTTTTAACATAAGCTTAAAACTATTATTACCATGCTATGATGATGAGGTGACTGGTTTCGGGCGCATGACAAGTAGCAACCCTTCTTTCATTCTATTTCTTAGTTTTCACATGCTGCACAAAACGTTTTTTTCTTCCACGTTCCTTCTGTCATTATAAAAGATAATAGGTATCATAATTGCTTCACTTCTTCTTTATATTCCAAGTATCGCTGCAACAATCTATCACATCTCCCGTTAGTAAACCTCGAGTAAACCATTGCCCTATGCCCGCTAAAGTAAACAAGTGGAATGCGCCAGAAATTGTCGAAATCGCGCCAAAATAGCAAACTAAGATGTGAAAAAATAACCGCACCCGGAAGAAATCAGTTCTCGGGCATATTTGAGGCGGGTCTTTACTGGTATATTCTATCACTAAGAATCCTTCACACTCACGTATACATAGACGCTGTGCAGTGTGCACTGGTCAGCACCGCCTCCCACCCTCCCCACAGATACGAACACCCCTGTCCACGAGCGGCACCCCATCACCGCTGTCCCCGGGAAAACCCAGTGTTCGCGCCGGACCCGCTCCTGTACAGGGTGTAACGAAATTATCCGGACATCTTTCTTCGCGCTGTAATTAAGAAGCAAGACATTCTGATATTTTGCCTTTTGAATTATTATATAGCCACCTTTCATAAGAGCGCAGGTACAAATTTTTGGAGCATTCCAGCCACTGGATTTTCCAGCACAGTGGGTTTCATATAGAGTAGCGCCTTACTAACCTGTGCCCACAGTTGGGCGGCGCTGGTGGCGGGTGTCCCCTCATTCATCTCCTGATGGACAATAGTCCATAAGATATCGATGGAATTGCATGGGAACTATTTCCAAACCATAGCCCTTTATCCCAGAAGAAAAATAGGTCCTCTCGGCATCACTTCTCATTCTGCTAGGGACTTGAAGGTGGTGCGCCGCCCCGCATGAAGACTGCGCGGCTTGAATCAGGCATCGGTACACGTTCAGAAACCGAGCCCTCCTGTGCCGTCTGGTTGAGTGGCTCCAACCAATCGCTAGCCAGAATGTTGCGCCGGTAATACTCGTCACTGATAGTGGTTTTCTGCGTCGTCATGAACAGCTTGAATATTACACAGCAGCTGAACATGTTCCAGGTCTGGATTTGGGCCGGATGTTTGACGCCGACGACGGCCGGCACCTTCGAGCTGCTGGCAGCCCACACATGGCCGATTTGACGGCTCAACGGATATCGCAGCTCGAACAGCTTCCCATCCGACCAGGTCACCTCATTCATGTCTTCCTTCGACCAGTGGACACGCCCTGGCCTGAGGCCAAAGGTGGTGAACTGGTTGTTTTCCCATCAATTTCATTGTCTTTTCCAGTTTGAAGGGCAGTAAAACCAAGCTAAAGGGTGGGTAACGGTGAATCATGATGTGGGCCTCTTATTATCTGCCTTGGTAAGAATTCGAGTCAGTATGCGGATTAATTGGTGCCGTTTCCTTGTCGCTATCTTGACAACTCTCGTCACCACTTGGCAAAGGGCGCCTTTTGCGATCGAGGCCGGGCTGAGTCTGCCACCAAGTCGCAGCTTATTACGCCTCAGGCAGA